AATCTTCTGTGTGAGTAGATGTCGTGGTGGCAAGCCCAGGAATGCGAACTGGCACATTGGCATAAATTTACCCAACTTTTATTCTGAGATTATTTTGAGAATAAGTCCCCGCATTTTTGCGTTATTTTCCTACGGCAAGTTTACCCTCTGCTAATGAGAAAACCCCTGTTTGACTCCCCAAACCTTCACACACTCATCAAAGGGGTCAAAGCCAGTTTCTCTTAACAACAACACCCTGAGAGGAGTTGCGGGAGCCCGACTCCAGATTGCAAAAGGAAATACAGACCAAGAACAGCTATCCAGAACCAGAATTGGGCCATAAAATGACAAACCTCTCTTGGAAATGCAAAGCTGCCCCGAATCTGCTCCCCCATCCAGTCTGCAACTCTGGCCATGTCTCTGGCCTCTGACAAACGTGTTCCTCCTTTCCGAAGAGGAGCAGGGCTCTGCAGCTCAGCCTGGCAGCACTCCCCTGCCATCTACGGCGACCCCTCCGTTCAGGACAACAAACCACACCACACCCAGACAACGCTAAGCCATTCGTTTCCAATTAGCTTTTCACATCTCAGGGAACAGGAATCCTCCTTCTGCAGCTTCAGTGCAAAAGATGAAATTATTCTGTAGCATAATTCAACGGTGGATTCAAATACATCCCTTCTCTGACAATCAGAAGTACCCCAACGCGCTAGAGCGCACATGTCAGGAATGTCAGGAAGGGTTTTAAAAGGTCCTTTAATTCCCTTCTAGGTCAGACCTAGGCACTGCCCTGCCCACAAGCAGCACGGATGAGGCGAAAGCAGCCGCTGCCTACCATCCATGTCTTCTCGTCCCAGGTAGGAGCACCAGCAGTTCCTCATGACCTCGATGGCATCCAGGTCCTCCTTGGAGATCTCGAAGCTGCTCATGAGGTGCATGCAGGGGATGATCAGCTCGTTCAGGATGTTGATGCCCTCTGCCACACGCGCTTCCTCACGGCTTACGAACAGAGATGCGGCCACCTCGTTCAGCTTCTAGGGGAGAAACGGGGAGACACTTTTACAAAGCAAGCGCAGACCTCAGATCATCAGCACGCCGTCGGGAAAGGCCCCCAGCTCAGCCCCCGTCACCCACAGCGCTGCAGAGCCACGCAGACAAACACAACCAGGCGCCAGGCTCTGGAGGAGCCCCCCAGCATCAAGTCAGCATGCTCCCGGAAAGGGACCTGGTGCAGTCTGATTCCCTGGGCAATGTGCACCGAGCAGCTGGGAGTGATCTGTCACCCTGCCTGCTCCCTCCCCTCCTCCCCAGGGACGAGCGCTGAGTCCCCCATACCAACCAGGAGACACTTGCGTCGGTACAAGGCGATCAGCGACTCGTCCACGCCGCGGCTGGCTCCCTTCAGCAGCAGCTTGGTGTTGCTCTGGTAGGCGTACACCAGGTAGGTGAGTGACTCCTGGTACCTGGGAGAAGAGGGTCAGGTCTCCAGCCCATGGGACCCACATCAAGTAATTAACGCTCCTCTTGGCCCCGTGCGCCAAACGAGCATCTCAGGAAGAGCCCTTCGGAGCAGAGTTTGTGCACAGCGTGCCCTGAACACGGATGCCAGCATTGATCTTTTTTTTACATTGCTCCGGGAACTTTGCACTTTGGGAGAGCGCTCGCTCAGACAGGTGCAGGAAGGAATGTTTTCAGTCCTGTACATATTTCTAGCCTATAAACCCCCCAGTGAGAAAACAGAGCAGCTGACAGGGATTAGGTCATTCCAGGGAAGCTCTAATGCGCTCTCACCCGGCCTCTTGTCAGTTTGCCTACTGGAATTTGGTGGTTCACTGCTGCCAAAAGAATTCAATTAAAAAAAGTGATGGCCATCAGTCCTGCAAAGCCCTCTCTGGAAATGAAAATACAAAGCTCTGCTTCACAGAGGGAAAAAATGGGGGAAACGCTAAGAAACTCACTAGTACCTCATCCAAATATTTAACCTGTTAACCAAGGCTGGCTGTGGCTTCCAGGAAGGGCTATTAGCAAGCGACAAAGCAAGCCCACTGGCCTCAGATAGAAAGAAGTAGTTCTGCCAAAGCAGCCTCTATTTCTAGGCTACAGCTTATCTCATCGAAATGCGCAATTAACAACTTACTTTCTGTTCTGGTACAGCTCCAGGCCCGTCAGCAGGTAGACCGACACCTTGCGGAAGAGGCTGTAGTCTTCGTGCCATCTCTGTTGGGGAGCACCAAGAAAGCAGAGCGTCAGCTTCACCCATCACACGCGTGTTTTACACTTCTCCCCAACTCAGCAGCACAGCAGATTTCACCCTTTGAGGGGTGTGAACATCCATCTCTGCAGACACACACTTCCGACAGCGAGGAAGCTGCCGACAGGCTGCCGGCTGCTCCGGCCTCCCCGCCCCCCACGCGCTGCTTTGGACAAAGCGTGAAGGATCGAAGGCAGCACTCCGGTCCCTTACCTTGTACTCCTCCATATCGACATCATCTGGACCAATTTCTCTCAGCTTCGCCCGTGCGACCTTCATAATGCTGATCGACCTGCTCCATGTAAGCAGAGAGGAGAAAAAAATCAGAACATCGGCCTCGGCTGCTTCCAAATTAAAAGCTTCCTCATCTCAGCATCCCCGGCACAAACCTTTCATCATAGCTGAGGTTTTTGTCTGCAAACTGCTCAAGAAGGGTCCGTTCCACCACCTGCTGGGGAGCGTTGTTCTGCAGGAAGTAAACGAGGACGTGCTGCAGGCGGGTGTCGTTCTGGGGGGTGGGGGTCTCCTTGGCGAGGAGGTAGAGCCGGGAGTACTCCTCGTGGAACGCCTGCCGACAGAATGCAGCGGCTGGCACGGCTGCTCCTCCACCCGTGGGAATGTCACGGCAGCCGAAACCGAGCTGAAACCTGCCCTGTCACACTGGGATTCCCGTGGGTGATACCTTGCCTCTGCTGCTCGGCTACTTTCTAGCGGGGAACGGAAGCCCACCAACACCTGGGACTACAAACAGAAGCGCACGAAGTGCGCACACTGGGCAAAAGCAGCGGGGTGTCTAAACGCCTTGCAGAGAGGGGGCACAGAGCTGCCGCAGACAGCGTCGGTAATCCTCCTGCAAGTGCTGAGGTTGTAAAGATTGATTGCAAGAGTATCTTGTGATTTCTATTCCTGTAGATTAATAGCACATGCTGCATTTTTAGTTAAATCTACCTGCCTGTACAGCAGAGGCAGAAAAAATAGTGCAAAGTAAAACCAGAAAAAACAGTTGTTGTTCCTGCTTGGAGGAAGGAGTTCTTTCTCACAAGCTCTGAAAGCTGTTTAGAACCCAGGGCTATGTTGGCACAATAAGAGAGCAGAAACAAATGCAGGACAGGAAGGCTGTTAACTAGAAGGAAAACTGCACAAACCATTCCCTTCACATCCCTGATCTGTCAATACAGCATAGATTCCTCATTCGGCGCAAGCAGATATCCATACTATTGGATTTAGCAAACAAATACCTTCACAAGCCCTGCTTCAGACCCGTCTCGATCAAAGGTCTGGCGGGCTTTCGCAATGGCCAGGATGACACCTTGCATGGCCGGGCTCAGCATCACCTGCCACCGGAGCAGGAAAACAGGCAGGAACAGGGGAAACGGGGACAGAGAAGAGAAGGCATGGTGAAGGAAGGAATACATTTGTGAAAGATAAAGGCGTACAGGAAATCACACAAATACAGGTGGGATAAGCCAGATTTGCTGCGATTTACTTCTATCCTGCTTACTCCATCTATCACATGCGGGGGGGGGTTTAAGCACTTAAGGGTGTAAAGGCTGGTCACTCCAAGCCTGGAATTTGTCAATTCCACAAGCACACTGGCCGCATCCCCTCTGTGTCCCATTCCATCTTCTCAGGAAATATAAATACGAGAGCAGCCCGGGCATGGTAAGGTAGCTATGGGCGGTTAATGCCTCCAGAGAGGGGACGGAGCTCCAGCTGAAGACAGCGGAGAGGTTTGTTGATACATGAACACCACTAGGATCAATTCTGATACAGTTGTGCCAGAAAGGAGACTTAAAGGAACAACGTGCAGACTTAACGACTGAGTGTTTTCACAGAGCTGCTTTTCCGATGGCATTTGGAAAAGAAATTACTGATCGATTCGGTCTGGCCGTCTTCATTTCCACAGTGGGAACACGGACTTTGTAAACAGCGTTGTTTCACAACAGACCGCTGTTGTACCCCATCTCAGGAAAGCTCAAAGCCAGCGAACTACACAGTTAATGACTGGCAGTGATTTGGGATCTGTACCTCCTCATTATATCCATCTGCATCGGATCTAACAGGAATCTTCCCCACACTGGGGATTTCCACTTCCGAGAGCTGGGAGCTGCTCGGGGCAGTGGGCTCTGCTTCCTGAGCGTCCTGTGGCTGCTCTGCCTGCACTGTACGGGTGGTTTCTCCCGCAGGGACCTTCATGGGCTCTACCTCCTTGGGCTGTGGCCAAGAAGAAAAAAGAAGAAAAAGTAAGAAAAAAACAAAGCAGGACACAGGAAAGCAAAAGGGGACCAAGTGAAACGTGGCACAGGTACAGAACTGCACAGAAATGGGAAAAACAAAGGTCTGTTGAGAAGAATAGTGCAAAGAGAGGAACGAGCAGCTGGCTGGGCCCAGGCTCAGCCCCTACCTCACAGAGTGCTGCCTCGACGCCGTTCTTCTCGTAGGCGTCAGCGGTGTTGGCGATGGCCTTCGCCGTCTGCTCCTTGGCGATCATGGCGTGCTCTGAGGACAGCGAGCGCACGCTCTGCTCGCAGACCGACGACTGATCTGTCGGGACAGAGGTGTGGTGTGATCAGCGAGCATGAACTGCAAGATGACTTCTCCTCTCTTGCTCTAAAATGTTTTGCAGCTCGTCTATGCTGGATTAAACAGCTGCTGCCTTCATCCCAGGGGTGAAAGCGCTTCAACCGTGAGCTTGTGCATCATCTCTTTCAGCACACACCATCGGGGACTGCCAAGCAATGCTTTCCCGTGCCAGAGAACAGCATTTGAACACTTCCCACTCAATAGTTATTAAAAAGAAGTCTGGAAGTGCAATGAGATGATCCCGTTATGATTAAATGATTGGAAAACAGCATTTCTGGTGACAAGCATGGAAGGATGCACGTGCAAAAACAACAGAACAGCCTTTTGTACTGCCAGGACAGAGCCTCTGCCAGCTGCCTTTGCTCCTTCATCAACAGTTTCTCCTCGAAATCGAGAAATTTATGCCAGGCCCCAGCACCACGGTATTTTTGACCGTGTTTCTGGTTTCCACAGTTTGCAAATCCAGACGTGGTGTTACCTGGTCCGGATTCGGAAGAGAGGTCCTGCGATTCTGAGGCAGGCGAAGGCTCCATCTGAGGAATCTTGCAGGACTGCTCCTCCTCCCACTCCTCCGCCTCCTGCTCCAGCCGCCAGTTGTCCTCCTGGATGTATTGTCTGAGCTCCAGGGGCAAGGCTTCGACCTCCTTCTGGAACTGCCCAGCCTCTGAGCCGTCTTCTTTGTCTGGAAGAAACGCAGGACCGGCATGTAACAAACCACGTGGCAGCAGGACACCACCGTTAGAGCCGAAACAAACTTGCAATATCATGGGAAGCCACAATCCAATTCCCTGAGGGATAAATGGGAGAAACCCCAACTTTCCACTAGCTTTGTAAGGTAAGATGATTCATAAGCAAAAGTACAGAAATAAAGACAAATCTACAGAGTTATCTGAAACAAAACCCAGTTTTGTTGCATTGATCACAGAGAAATTCTGGAAACAGCACCTGCTGAGGCAGTGGGTCGGAAATACATCCATATTTGAGGGCTGTGATTGTACAGAGAGCAGTATTGAAACTGCCAACAGCTGGAAAATTCACAGTTCAGCTGGAGACATCGCACCTACAGCACTACCTGGCACATAAAGGTGAGGAACTGCCTGGATTCCACGCTGGTATCTCGTAGCAGCTGTAGATCTACTTCAGCATTCAGTTTTGAAATAGCACAAAGAGCATCAGATTTCGACAAGTCCTAACATTTATCAAAAGCAAGCAGCAATTCTCTACCCCAGATATTTCTTATGCACCCATTGTAAAAGCAAAGCATCTAAAAACCAACAAAAAACTGCATTAAACAGGAGAAAAAAACCCCAAAACATGGGTTCATTTCAGAAACGGAACTGTCTCAGGAAGTCAGACAAAGAAGAACCTCCAGCTCCTCATCAGCCACATTTAGCAGTGAACAGAATGACAGTTCTCCATTGTTTCTTTCTATTTATGACATCAAAATGAGCCGTGCGTGAAATTATTAGGCTCTCGTACAGCTGTTTGCCATGTAGAGTGCAGCACGCACAATAATTTCTCCCCATAACTATTCATACATGGGCACTTCGAACGTACTTGCAAGTGGAAGCCACTGTTCCCAGTAATTCCTGCACGGAAAAAGATCCCCATTTAGGTTCAACATAACCATGACACTAATGCACAAGCCAACAAGTCAGAAAGCGTGACAAAAACGGGAGAAATAAAGTAGGAGGCATTTCAATGCCTGTCTAAAGGAAACACCGTCATATAAAGGATATAAGGAGTCCAAGGGGAAACACCAGCACTAGATGCATGTTCAAAGCAGGTGGAATATTTAAACGTGTTACTAATACATACAGTATTGCACCTAATCCCACAGCATGGCTCTTTCTTCAGTTTTCAGCCCTATCAGGGATTTAGAAATGAATGGAGGAGGGAGCACATTATTTCACTTCCATCTGGGGTGAAGCTTTTTGCCTTGTCAGAAGACAACGGTGCCACACAGAAGCTGTGGCACGTAACGATCACGCAGGCTAGAGACACGCTAGCGTCTCATTAACCAGCAGCTCTGGCGCCGGTACCTGCAGCACCCCGGGACACCTTGTCGCTGATGTACATCAGACAGTAGGCGCTGGCATTCTTCGAGCCTCCAAACGAATCTCTCTCCAGTTCTTCCCACGACGATTCTGTCACCGAGATGTCGTTGTACTTGAGCCAGCTTTTCCGAGGCTGGTCGTATATGAAGGCCCAGTAGTGACCAGCGTTGGCTTGCCCTTCGTGCACCAAGACTGCGTGCAGGCGGTAGGGAACCTGCAAGTTCACACGGACACGGTTTTCAGGTGTACTTGTAGGAAATTATTTTGTCTGACCTCTGTACAAAAATGGCAAAATGTTCATCACTGTAGCCTGGTGCAAGACTCTTGATTCACATGGTAAATTTCCTACTAAGTGAGAACCAGTTTTTAAGGAAGAAGATTTTCATAAAGAATCCTTTCTTGCTTCAACACTGGGACTTTTTAAATACAACGAAGCAGACCATTTAAACTGACAGCTACGAAGAAAAACCAGTAAGGAATTGGCATTTCCTACCTGTTGGAGGAGAGGGTCACAGTACATCTGCTCGATGGAGAGGTTGATTCTGGCAACAGACTCCTTTAGATCTGCCAAGAAAATAACAAGTGAGAGAAACACATAAAAATAAATGACAACTCATCAGGCTACTCCAGCCCCTCTCACTTCAGAAAGTTTGGAGCCCTGCAGTAACTATCAAACACACTTAACACCAGAGCTGAAACTGGTACAAGACTATTTGTAGTTCAGGATATCTCCAGCTAAAGCGACAGTGGGGAAATCAGGCTGGTGTTCAACAGAAAGAGCACAAGAAATATATCTGGGGTCAACCTTGTACATCTTGTTCAATCTCGTTTCTCCATCGCTGCAGACATGTCCGAACGAGGTTCAGCTCTTCCTCGGAAACCACGCGAGGAGCTGGACATTCAGATATTTCTGCGGGTGAAATAGAAGGCTGGAGCGGTGTACTTGATTTTTGCTGCGGTGAAGAATTTCCCAAAAAGAAAGCTTCGTCTTCAGTCCTGGTATCCTCCCTTTCCAGTACGCTGTGAAGGAAAATCCAAGAGTAGTGGACAGGTTTTTCAATCTTTCTCCTGTTTTTTCTCTTTTAGGAAAATAACACGAAATCAACCAAACAGAAATCACTCCAGAGCCAGAGCAGGATTTCCCTTCCAGGACAGTACAAAACATAAAGAGAACAAGTACACTGAAATGTACTTCCACCTTACCAGACCAAATTAAAGTATAGGACAAAAAAACCCTAACATTCCTACAAAACTCTGTAAGCACAGATCCACAATGAGCAATTCTAACCATTCCTTCCCTCACTACAAAACTCTTGTATTTACTTGTCTGAATTCAATAAAGCAACCACACTGGCCAGGTCTGTAATAATCCAACATTGCAGCCATTTACTGCTTGACGAAGCAAGAAAATTTAGTAGCCTGACCAAAACCAGCATAGAATGTAACTCAGATTGCTGCTTGGACAAGGAATACAGATGAGCTTTCAGCAAAGGAAAAAGAATAGACTAGATGCAGTGTCATATTTCCACAACCAGAACTTGGTGAGGAGCACAGCAGTGCCTGAGCGCTCGCAGAGGCATTCACACGCTGCAGCACCACGCTCACAAGCACGCAGACAAATAATTCACTTTCAGAGCGCAAACCAGGAGCACTTAGCTGAAAGGCAAAGCCTCTCCTACAAATTATTTTTACTTCTGTTGACTAACCTGTTTGGCTGTGAAAGCACGTCCAGAACAGGAGGCTCGGTGTGGGATTGCAGGAGTGTTGTCTGACAGCTCCGAGCAGAAGGGACGACTCCAGCTGGCTTTGCAGCGATGAACTCGAGAACGTACTGGAGCATGTCGGGCAGCGGGAACCGGGCTGGGCCAGAGCCGTATTTCATGTACCTGCAGGGAAAGGTAAGATGCTGCATGAGAGAAGGAACGTCACTGGTTAAACGATGCCAAATGCTAAGCTGGGGAGGATATCTCATAAAAGAGGACGTAGAGTATGACTGCACTTCCTCACCGAAGCTTGACAACAGAGCTGACAGTGATGATCGTGCTACTGAAAAAACTTCTGCTTGTAACAGCATCGGTAATATTCAGAAACCAGCAAACCCTGGAGTTTGTTTTTAAAAACATACCTCCTCACTCCACACTTCTCAGAACAACCCCAGCGCTGTCTCTTCTTCCCCTACAAGCTTCTCCTCTATCAGAAAGCTCATTTCAAAGGAAGCATTTGCACACCTCCAAGGGGCACACAAATAAAGCTAGCTGATGACTTACCTTTCCAGCTTCTGCTGCAGCATCACCATTTTCTCTTTCAATCTCTTCATTTCTTCTCTCTTCATCTGAATAAGCTCTTTACTGCAGTAGAGGTACCTACACAGAGGAAGGCAGAGCCCCGCCACGTGAGAGTCGCTTACTTCTAATAATCTCAATCTCTCACAAATAGTTTTGAATCCTTCCTTGCTCACCCATACAACCTCTTTAATTTATTTAATTACAATAAAGCAACAGCTTCAAACGTACCGAGCAACTCACCTGTCCATATAAATAGTCCGGGGAAATTCCAGCTTGGTGTGGATTTTCTCTGGCTGTCCCAGCGACTGATTGAACTCAAACCGGGAGAGTTCGAAGGTCAGTACCGGTGGGAGTTTGGTAAACCACCGCTGGAAGAAAGGCAGAAATGCCCCCAAAGGGACTCGGTTTGAGATGATTGCCGAGTGACACATTTAAACCGACCCTAAATGATTTCACACTGATCCTAAACGCCTGCTTGTCTTTAAGGACTGAATCAGTGCACGTGTTGTTTACAGAGCGACTAGTCAGAAAGCCAAATTTTACAGGATTAAGATTTCCATTTCCCATTTGTACTGCGAAGAGGGCTCAGAATAGCTGGCAGAACGTGACTTTTCGTTGCCTGACGCATCCAGCTCGATGGCTCACTAATGGGTCCAGCACTGAACGTTACAAGATCAGCAGACACTGCGCAAGCTCTGGATGTCAGCTGGAGCCTCACAGAGAGCTCCTTTCCAATGCAGACCACATGCAATGACGAAGAACAAAACAGAAGCCCTTAAGCTGATCCCTTCTCTCTCTATTTACAAACTGTTCAGGAGACTCAGAGAAGAACCCCACTTCCTGTACGTTTCATGCACTGTTTGAAAGAGCCATGCTGAAAGAAAAGGTCTCGGTTGAATTTACCCTTCCTCTCTCTCTTCCTGGGTCACAAATACTCCAGCACCCATGGCCAGAAGCACCCCTCACCCACCTCAGCACCCCCTGACATGCTCCCTGTGGGACTTGGGACGAGCACACCGAGCTCATTCTCCTTTGGAGGATTCATGTCACATGTCCTGACACAAAAAATCCGCCTCACGCCAAAGCACAGCAGCACATTTTTAGATCTAAAATATTTCCAACAAAGGTGATTTTTTTTTAAATTTTATTAAAAAAAAAAATTTGGAAGGGAACAGCCAGGTAGCAGAGCTTTTTGTGAAGGAGCCCAATCTTCAGAAGATGAGAACAGAAACACAGAGGAGTGATTTAGACACCTAGTATCTAGGAGAAATGCAATTTCTCATCAAGCCCACTGATGCTTTGAGCTCCAGTACACTCATCTACGTTCTCAAAAGACAACATGCACCTGATTCTCTATGTCCCCTACAATGCAGCCCTCTAGCCACGACACTCTAGGGAGTGAAATTAAGATGCACAGTTTATCTGGTCAGATTTCTTAGAAGCAAAGCCAGAGCCTTTTCCTTCTCTCCCTACAAAGAATGATTAAAGCATCTCCATGATTAGTCCAATTTCCCTTATCTTTTGCAAAACAATTTGGAGGAACTAAAAAGCTTGGGCTGCAAAGAACCCTTTGCCTCTGGCACCAGCCCACATCAGCTTCACCTACTCTGCACCTGAACAGCTTCAGGCAGGAACTGGGGAAACCAGAAACAACCACTGGAGTCCCGAGGAGGACAGGGCAAGGCTTCGTTTCTCCTTTGTTAGTTTAAACTACAGCAACGCCTTTTCCAGACCTCATAGAGCTGAAATACCTTTCCCTGCCCCTCCACGCCAGACAACTTTGCAAATTCCTTATTTCCCAGTCCTTCTCTAAGCTCCCTTCTCGGCTGCTCTGACACACGGAGGATGCTGGATATCATGGCACACCTTCACTGCCTGCTTCGCTGCAACTAAGCTTGTATGATTGGATTGTGATTTGCGAGATTTAAAAAAAAAAAGAAAAAAAGAAAAAAAGATCAGCACAGTCAGAAGAGAAGAGTGAAAATGAGAAGAAAATAAACACACACTGTAATAGGGAGAAAGATACAAATTCCAAATGGCATACCATAGAGTTAAGCACTGTACTTTTACCCTCCGAAATATGGAGGCAGTGGTTCTCCCCCTACTCAGGTACAGGTAGGCTTCAACAGAAAGAGAGAGACTTTACCACACTTGCATCAGAAGCACACGTTACCTTTTCAATTTAAAACAAACGCCTTGAACTGCTTATCTAGGACAACACATCTTCACATATAAGCAAAGGCTTAGCGTCTCACCGCGTAACACTAACGTACATTTACAGGAGATCCCAGGCATCCAGAAAATATTTTGTATTCAGTTCTTAGGGAACATTTACAATTGCCATTTAAAGTTACCAGAACATACTGAGACACCCCTGCGCTATGTGCGTTGCATTTTTCTGCAGCAGGCAACCGAAAGCTCAACAAAAACCCACAGAACTAACCTCCTGTCCGTACTTCACCGACTGAGACGCTGTCGCCTCATCCATCTCGCCCTCCACCATGGCTCCTTCCAAGCACTCGTTCAAATTTCGATACCCGTTTACCTGAAGGGGATACTGACCAAAGGTTTCGATCTTGGAAAATGTATTGCCTGGATGATGGAAACGATACAAAAACCAGGAGCTAACTTAAAAGAACAAAAACTCTGCTTAACTCAAGATGTTGCTGTCAGCACCGCTCAGAGGTGCCACCCACAAGAACCGAACCGCAGACGGCTCTCCATAAGGCAGCCTCCTGAAAAACGAGTGCTTTCAAATACAGGAGCACTGGCGAGTATTTCATGTTTTCAGAAGACATACTAAGTGTTACAGACAATTTTATCAAGAAGACTACTGGCAAATTTAAAGAAGTATTCAATTTCATCAGGAATGTGCAACAAAATCCTGTGTCATCACTGCTATAAATCGAAACACTCCAAGGAGTGAAAACGTCAGTCTGCCAAACCCTTCACTCACCCTCATGGACACCCTCAGTCAGGAAAGTCCCGTAGAAAAGCTGTACCATGGGGTTTTCAGATTTGTCCCCAGGGCTCCTGTTTCAGAAAGAGAAAGCACACATTCACGTTTGCAGCTGCAGGCGGAAGAAAAGCCCCAAGTCACAATCTTCAGTTTTCCTGTCAAGCTCCCTCATTCACTAAGTCGTTGCATTTCCAATCAGCTTCTCCCCAGTGTCAGGCCAAACTCCCAAGACCACAAAAACTCACTTGACATTCACAGCAAGCTGGAATGCGTCCTCCAGCCAGTCCAGTAGTTTGTGTGTAAATTCACTCACGTCTTGCTAGAAGAGAGACAAAAGCCGAGAGTCAAACGTCACACCGGCTGGAAAACGTTTCCACGGTCTCCTGGTTTCACAGACCTCCTGGAACACAGCCCGACGGGTACTGCCGCACCTACCCAGCTGCAAGGAGCGCAAAACTGCGGTGCTGAGCTGATTCAGACCCATAATGAACGCTCTGCTCATCTGAGAACTAGATCAGAGGAAATTATTGTGATCGCTCCCCAACTACCCAGATGGCAGCGGGTAGAGCGCTGTGACACTGGCTGTTTAATTAGCAAGCGCGTACATCTCGCCTAAACGACGCGGGGACAGCTGCTTGGCAGTTGACAAGCACGGGAAGAGGCCTCTGAACGTAATAGCATGGATGAAGTGAAATAGGATTGTTCAGGAGAAAGCGAAAGGCTTCTTATGGCGGTTTTACCTGCTGTTCTTCAGCGGATCTGAATGCGTCCCTCAGGAGTTCCAGTGCTGCAGACGGGTCTACAAACTTGCGACGTGTTCCCAGCATTAGAGCAAACAGACACTGAAGTTCTTGCATGAACGCAATATTTCTTTTCCCCTGCATCATAAAAAGAAGAAAAGGCAAACCCTTCCTGCAACTCAGAAAAGCAGCATCAGTGCAGATACCTGCGGAGGTAACAACCAAGGAAAGAGGTGGCACTAAAAAGACAAAAGCAGAAAGACCATAAACCTGGTCTCCCTATGGAGGCACAGATGAAAAAATTTAACTGAAGTCCAACCTTTAGAGAAGAGGGTGCCAGAAGTAATAGTTGCTACAGCAGAAGGCAAAAGCCAGTGGATTTATGAATTTACTCTGTCTGCATGTGAGGTTTGTTAGAGTGCTGAGAGCACACACAAAAGCATGTAAAGCCAAGTCTCTTAAACAGCGGCGGCCACATGCTAGAATGATACAAGCAAAGGATTATTCTATGTACGCCTTTTTCTCTCAAGATTTTCTCAGCCCCTCCTGCTGACCGCTCTCAGCAGGCACTGGGGCTGGAGGGACTGTCAGACTGGCTCAAACACCAACGCTTCTGTGGTGTGTGCGAAGAAAAGTACAATCTGGAGCTACCAAAGGAGTTCTACTGGTCAAATTTCTCCCCACACCACTGTGAGAAGCTCTAGAGGAAGGCTTTACAAGAAGCATCTGCTTGTTTTCTACAGAGATTCTGTCTCTGATGAGTGTTGCCCAAATTTAACGGCGCCCGACAATCTGAAAGCCATGAACAGGCACAGGAGTCTCTGGTAGCCCCAAATTAAATCTGCTCAGTGAAAGAGCAGAACAGCACACTGCAAGAGAGGGAAACCGTCCAGCATTACTCCATGAAAACTTACAGTGCGACTACGACAGCTTTCCAGCACGTTTTGTGGGAGGGAGTACCCAAGGACCAGCCTCCGGAATTCCGGCAGCTGAAACAGAGACTGTAAGGAAAAGAGAGGTAAGGACCAGCCAGCACCCACGCGGATGTGATTCACTCACAGCCTTTTTGTTAACTTCTAATTCTTTGATGGCCTTGTGCTACTGCATAGATGTTCATGGAGCGAGCAGTCTGTGTGCCGGACCAGCACGTTCGTACTCACCAAAGAATAAAACCTCATCCCACCGTTTCTAGGATACCTATAACCATTTTAGGAAAGAGCATTCTGGGCTGCCTGGGCCAGCTCAGAAAAAGCACCTAGGAACGAGTCACAGTGAGAAAAGAGCCCACTGGAAGCCTCCTGAGTTCCTCTCAAAGCTGGAAAAATACGATTGACTAACATCTATCTGCTGATGTGAAATGGCTAAAGAGACAAATCCGCTCAGTCCCACTTACTGTTGCCTCTTCCTCTTTAGGTTATCACTAATAATAGATGCTGCCCAGTTGCTGATCTGTTCCAGCGTCTCTGCCAGTGTATTCCATTAACTGGAACATGATACACCATGTATTATGGAGCCAACAATAACTGCAGTAAAATTAAATTATCGGTTCACTTTGCCCGTCAAACTTCTGTCATTCAGTAAGCACTCGGACATCGCTGCACCAAAAAAACCCCTGCGTGCGCACAGACAGATGATATGCGTCTGCATCTATTTTTACGCAAAGTCTATTTAACTGCTCTCTGGCTCCTTCTGCACACGCCCAGAATAAATCACAATCGTATCGAATAAAACCAGAAGTCTCATCTGAGCAGGGTCACACTCATCTGCATACAATGACAACTTCACAGAGCTGTTGCATATGTAATTCTAACTGACAAACATTTTGAGTCCAAGGCGGCAGTGACTCCAGAACTTTTCTATCAGATTACCTGTATGACGGCGCTAAACCAACACGTGTTTCCGATATTTTTCATCCCAACTGGCCAGTCACCCACTCTTCTCCAGTCATTCTCCTTGGGGTTCTCTCTCCAGATTTCGCAGCGTTTCCTTTTGGAGCGATTTTTGTTTTCGGCAGAATGTCCTTCCTGGGGTCTGTCACAAAAGATGCACACCGTGCTGTAAAACACCGTCTCACAAGGATTCTCAGGGACTATGGGAACTGTCCTCCCCTCCAGGCACAAGTGGGACACTGGAGCTGGGCGCTGTTGGGCGATACCCTGTGCAACAGACGTCTGCTGTGACTCCAGAGAAGCTTCAACTTCTCAAATGAGGCGGACAGGAAACATCCGCTTACGACACCCGGGAAAAACAAAGCCAACTTGTGGGCCCACTGACCTTTCAGCAGCATCTCTTTCTGCAGCCCGAGCTTTTGGGGATTCCAGTGGTCCGAAGGCGTCGCCTCTGTCGCCGGGGGTGAGGGCAGGGGTCACACCTAGAAGCAGAGGCAGCAGGCAAGCACTTTCTTTAAAAGGAACTTCTGCAAAACATGACACCTCACAAATATGATTTTTTAATTGATAGAGCAGAATTTTCCAGCTCGAGTTTTAAAGACAAATCCTTGTCGTTTGGATGATGCTAGGGAACCTAAAGAGCCACTGAGTGGGCTGGAGGAGGAGAACAGGAGAGACCGTGCAGCCGTGCACAGGCCAGAATTCCCTACAGCCACGTTCAGTGTGAGGGGGCACTTCAAATCTCTGGAAAGAATGGGACAGGAACAACAGTTTCTGCTCCTAAGTGTTGTGCTGTGACATCCATATTGCCAACTGACACTGTTACGAGAGAGAAAGGATTTCAATAAAATTGGCACAACTGCACAGAATCGCCTTCCTTTGCTCGTGTCAGGACGCTCAGCCACGAGTCGTGTCATGTACTAGCTACGCAGGAAAGGAGGAGAAAGGAAAATGAGTCGTTCTGGGAGGGGTGGGAGCTTCACACAGTGAACAAAGGGCAGCCGCGCTGCTCCGGCTGTTGCTTCAGGGCTCCCAGCAGAGATTTTTGGCACTGCGAGCCTGTCCGGTGATAATATCCCTTGGGAAAGCTCCAGTTAATAGACGTGTCATTAGCAAAAAGGTTTAACGAGACTATTCTCAACTACCTCAGGCTACGGTCACACTTTTTACAACTAAAAGTACCAAACCGACATCCCGCTTCTGCCAACACCTGTAACATTGACAAAAACATTTCTCAGGTAGTCACCTTGCTAGCTCAAACAGCATTTTGAGCTTTCAGGGCAATACGATATTAAACACTCAGTTCCAGCAGATGCCATGGAAAGAAATGTATGATCCTCAACAGGGGTCCACAGTGCCGACACTCCCGTTTGGGCTCAGCCCGAAACATGCGAAGCCATAAGGGCGAGCGGAGGCAAGGCGCTTACTTGGTGGGAGCTGTTTGCCCACGGCGCTGCCTTCCCACGCGGAGGGCTCCGCAGCAGTCGCGTCCTGAGCCGGCTCCTGAGCGTGCTCCTCCGTCAGGAAGGTGACGGCTTCCATCAGGTCTCCATTAGCAGCCTGGTAGAATGACAGGGAAAAAAGCAGAGTGCAGGGTTACTCCGTCTGCATTTGTGCGACACTTGATGCACCTGCGGCAGAGATGGGCACACCGCCACCGACTTCGCTGTCTTGGGCCATGGGACAGGGCTATCTGTCGGTGACAAGCAGTAGAAAAAAGTGAAAATAACCAAGGCTTGAATTTCTCTGATGGAAAGCACTTTGGCTTTATTACTAGGACAATACAGACTCCATTAACTAATTTCATTTCCCTTGCAGGAGATCCGAGTAGTCACAGGAGGTCTGAAGAGCGACAGGATACTTTGCCACCGGGAGAGACTCACAGGAATCAAACTCTCCATAGATTTCAAGACGTGCGTCTTTTACACAGCTAGGGCTTTCTTCAGACCATCACTACGGGCTAAACTCCTCTACATTTATTCTAACATTTTCTGGGCATTACTTCTCAATGAAACACTTCAGGATTTTCTGAAGCAAACCCCTTTGTGTATTTTCAGCACAGCCCACATCCTGCTGCCACATCTCAGGACGATGGACGGCACCCGATGAGTCCTGCGCTCCTTCACTTCGGAGCAAAGAAGACTGCTCTGGTGATGGACAAAGCACAGCCACAAAGCCACCGAGGTCACTGCAGCTGCCCAGAACTGAAGCAGTTTACCCAGAAGGTAAACACAGCCGATGGGCAGAAAAGCAGTGGAGGATTTACTCTTCGCCTCCTACGCCAACCACAGTATCCCACGCAGCACAGGCTGTATCGCTTTTGTGGGCTGGGCACTGACTATTTTAGCTCATTGCCAGCGCACAGACAGGCCAGCGTTACGTTCGGGGAGAGCCTGAACTTGCTTTTGGGACAAATGCAGAGGTCTCCATTGCACAGAACAACAACAGGCACCAACCTTTAGAGCTGCGTGAAGGAAAGCCGAATCTTGAATTCCTGTGATCTCTTTCAGCTGGTTTAGAAGCATCTGGCAATCCTATGCAGGAGAAACAAAAAAAGCTCGTGTGAAAAGGTGACAGGGAGAGACATCAAGCTCTTCCTGCCAGGCATGCCGGGGGCTCACCCAAGTATTGCTTCTTTCTTCCCTTTCTTCCCGCTTGCCTGATGGTAATACCAACACCAACCTGCTCGAGGTTTTCTCCCTAAATTTACAGACTAATGTTCATAGAATCATAGAATGCTTTGGGTTGCTCCAGTTAGGAGAGGAGAGCAGAGGGGCAGAATCCCCTCCCTTGACCTGCTGGCCATGATGCAGCCCAGGATGCGGTTGGCCTTCTGGGCCCACAGCGAAAAGAACGTCCAGAGAGGCAGGGCGAGTCAGCGTGCTAGAAACCTGGGAGAGCTGCAGCTGATGGGATGATCCTACAGGCCTTCAACTCCAAAGAACCACCAAGAAGCAAAAAAATGGGCACGCAAGACAAAGAAATAAACTAAGAAAGGAAAGTGAGAGTGCTCTCATCATCATCAGGAAGTATTCCAGATCCTGGTGAGATGCCAAAACAGCTGCCTGAACTGGGTCCTGCCCCTCAGAACCCAACGGAGCCCAGAGTCAGCCTGGAAACCCCTCTGGAACCACAGGGCGATCTAGAACTTTCAAGCGAGCTGGAACATGATCTAGAACTTGTGCTCTAGAACCAATCTAGACCTTTCAAGTTATCTAGAACCTGCTCTAGAACCACAGAGTGATCCATCAAGCCGGCTCTAGAACCGCAAAGTGATCTAAAACCTGCTCTAGAGCCACCTCCCTGCCAAGCCCCCAACTCCACACTCTGCTGGCTCCTGTTTTCCATCTCCCGACACCCCCAAGTCCTTCTCCTCAGGCCTGCCCTCCAGCCG